CCCGGCTTCGCTTTATTAGGGGGTTTAGGGGTTTTTTGGGGTTTAGGGTTTAGGGTTTAGGGGTTTTTAGATTTAGGGTTCAGGGGTTCGGGTTTAGGGTTTAGGGGTTAGGGGTTAGGGTGTAGGGTTTAGGGGTTTAGGGTTTAGGGTTTGGGGTTTAGGGGTTTAGGGTTCAGGGTGTAGGGTTTGGGGTTTAGGGCTTAGGGCTTAGCGTTTTAGGGGCTAAGGGTCTGTGGTTGAGGGTGTGGGGGTTTCGGGGTTTAGGGGTTTAGGGCTTAGGCTTTCTAGGGTTTTTGTTGGGTCTTTCGGTAGGTTTCAAATCGGGTTACACATGGGGCTATATGTAAAAACCTTGGTAGCGACGCAGAGTTTATAGCTGAGGGTGTAGGGTTTAGGGTTCAGGGTTTAGGGTTGGTTTATGGTTTTGGTATGTTTTGGTGCTTCGGGACGTGGAAACGGAGTTCAATGTGGACCCTAAACCCTTTTAGGGCTTCTGCCTTCAGGATGCTGGCTTTGCGGTTTCGGGGTTTCGGGGTTTAGGGTTTAGGGTCGAAAGCTCATCCTGAGCCCCAAAACCCCTTCAAGAAAGCAGTACGTAGTCCTTCAATCAGTCAGTGAGCACCGCCATTTAACTTGCGGGCTCTGATGTTATTCGTTATTGGGCTCCCTGGGTCAACCCTAAACTCCAACCCTAAACCCTAAACCCTAAACCCTAAACCCTAAACCCTAAACCGTAACAAACCTTTGGAAGACTTCGGTTCTTTGACGTTTTGGCGTGCGCTGCTGAGGCTGGGAACCATCGTCGCTGTGATCCTGAAATGCGATGAGGCTCTTGGATTTGTTAGGGTTTTGGGTTTAGGGTGTTAAGGTTTAGGATTTACGGAGGGGGGGATTGGGGTTTAGGGTTTGGTGAGTATGAGCATGGAGATCAAAATTTCCGGTTTCTAGATTTTGCGCTGTCTGGATTGTTATGAGCCCTTGAAGACAGAAAGTTTGGGTTGCTGCCTTTGAACTCGACACAAGTAACTTGGCCGCTGTCTTCTACTTGCGAATAAGTTCTTGGCGGCATCGTTTCTCAGACGTATATTCTAGGGTTTAAGGTTCCATATCATTCCGCATCTGGCAGTGTTTTTATTGTAATCAACCGAAGCATTAATCGTGCCCATCATCACTGCAGTCATCTCCGTAAACCAAGAACAACAACCATGACAACACACAACTGCGCTTGACATCAATAATGCCTGCTTCTGCAAACTCCTACGTTTACTGCTACCACCACCACCACCACCACGACGACGACGACTACTACTACTACTACTACTACCACGACTACTACTACTTCTACTACTACTACTACTACCACCACCACCACCACCACGACGACTACTTCTTCCAAACGCAGCAAAGACGAGTCTCTGCTAGGCGAACGTATTATGGCAGGGTCGTCACCCTGGCGC